AAGATTCGATATTGTAAAGATGTCAGCAAATTGATCTGTAAACTACAAATGCTAACCCAATTGGTGGCCATATCGATAACTACCTAGAATATGGATCAAAGCTCCATGTGCTCTTTAATCCAACAATTCCGCTCCTTGGTTCACGCCCAAGAGAAATGTGTGCACAAGCGTATCGAACGGCATCTATGAGAAATTTTACGTCAGCAGAATGTGTACTCGTCTCAAAGAAGAAGGCACACACGTCCATGAACAGCAGAATGGTGGAGAGTTTACACCACGACCGACGAGGAAGAATGAACTGCTACACGCACCAACACAGACGAGTTTCGCAAACGTAAAGTTGAGCGAAAGCCACCTGACCCCGAAGAGCACATGCTGTACGATCCCACGTACGTAAGAGCAAGTATCCGGTTTCCATGTAAACGAGGAGACGGCTCCTGTGACTGTGGACAATGCGGGGACTGGCAGGAGGTGTCAGGGGGATTCTGGGGTCTTGGCCACGATCCCTTTCTGGATCTGAGTGGTGGATACAGAGACTGTATTTTTAATAATCACTTGTTAATCCGAAAGCTGATGTGTTATCCACTCATTTGTGTGTTACGTTTCACAGTAAAAAATGGTTTAAAATATGGGACTGATTTACATTTCCTTCCAGCCTCTGCGAATCCCAATTTTCTGCCAGGAGATAGATTTTTCGATCACCTTACTTGAAATGTATCATTCTATAGCAGTGGCTGGGGACACCGAGACACACCTTTTTGGGTTGTTGTTCGTGATTGTCAAACTACAAAAATATGCCATTTGCATATTCAAGAAAGGTGAACTTTGTAAAAACTACATGATCCATGAACCTCAGCTCTTTCTAATTAAAAACGTGTTGGATCCTGTCAGCCCCTCCGAAAAAGCCACATGCACAGCTTTGACACATGCTCTGACAGGCCCTAAAACACAGCGCTTCCCACCTACTGCTGACATTTCGTTTGAGAGATACCGATTTATTCTGTGCCCCAAACAGAACTGGAATTAATTTGTGTTATTGATTTCTCAGCATGCATGATGGGTCGGGACCGCAGGGGGGTTCCTGGTGGGGAGAGAGGCTGGCCCCAGACCTCAGTCCTATACTTTCCCTCAGACAGAGGCACATGGAACCCAAGGAGAGGGAAGGTCTCACTCTGGCTTTGTACCTTCGCGCAGGCTTCTGCCTCGGCAGCCTGGCTCATGGTCGAGGGCCCTCCCCAGGCTTCTCGCAGGGCAATGACTCAGGGCAGGCCAAGTGCACACCTCCTGGAGCCTCTAAAAGGGCATCTCAGTTTCCTTATCTGTCAAAGGGGTAAGACAGGAACATAGCTCTCTAAAGACGACGCCTGCTTTGAGGCCAATTGTAAGGATTAGATACAGCACAGCGCACGCAGCAAGCGCCGTCACACCCTCTGCCCCAGCGCTTCGCGGTGCCTTCCCCCGGGGAGCGGGGGGTGCCTTTCTGTCCTTTAACTTCGTCCAGTCATGTGACTTGCATTGGTCAGCGCAACGAGGCGGGCGTGAATGTGCTAGCATGAAGGCTAGACCTCCACCACTGGAAACATTCCAGGTTGGCCCACGGGTCTTAGGAGGAAATGACAGACAGGTGGAGCACGGCCGTGTGAATCAAGCCCAGCCTAGATCAGCCAACCTCTGGCCAAAGCACAGACCACGAGAACAAATGGCCGCCGTTTTCAGCCACTGGGTTTTGAGGTGTCTTGCTGCACAGCACTGTGTGGTCACAGGTACGTGATACAACACTAGACTGGGAGTCTTTAGAGTGACAACTGTTTTATCCCACAGCATTCACAGCTTCATCCTGCAAATGTCTCTTGAGCACCTATGATGGGCTCTGTGCCAGGGACACGGCAGTGAAGAAGGCAGCCATGGGCCATGACCTTAGATGGTGTACCCCACGTGTGTGGGGGGCAGCGTGGAAGCCCTAGGGATAGCTCAGGGAATCCAGCTGGTCTGGAGAGGAGTCCAGAGGGCTCCCTCAAGAAGTGACTTTTAACTGAGAGCAGTCCGAGCAGAAGGGAGCCGATGGAGAGAACAGTGTTTCAGGCCGTGGAAAAGCACACGCAGAGGCACTGGAGTGGAGGGCCGGGCACCTCCGGGGGACGGAGGGACGTCTGAGGTTGGCGGGAAGGAAGCGGGCGAGCAGCGTGACTCCAGACAGGCGACAAGTGGACCAGGTCGTGTGGGCCCTGTGGGCTAGGTCAGGAAGGTCATGTGGGCCTGAGCGGGTGAGCCTTTTGGGCCAAGTCAGATGGGTCTCGTGGGTCAGGTCATGTAGGAGCTTCTTGGCTCAGGCTGGGTGGTCATTCACGGGCCAGGTTAAGGATGTTAGACTTCAGCCTGAGAGCTACGGGTGGCATTCTGGACAGTGAAGTGGGTTCCTGCATATGATCGACCTACTTACTGGACCAGAGAGGTTAGGTGCTATGGAGTGGGCCGCGCACCAGACACAGAGCCAGAAGGGGCCCGCGGCCGGTCAGTCTGATTCCTGCACGACCCCTCCGTCCTTTGCGCTTCTGCACCACCTTTTGGGGAGGTGAGCTGGCTGCGAAAATTATTGAAAGGAAGGAGGGGTATCCTCAGTACCAAGAAGGTACTGGCCAGTTTTACTTCTGCAAATAAAGAAAACTAATGACTCCAGAAGCCTTATTAGGTTGAATCAACAAAGACACGTTCCCTCGGCTTGCCCTAGAGATAGATATGAATGATAAATAAGCCGGGACATGCCGGTCCATTTTTCTCAGACTCTGCATCCTTACTGATGATTTGTCAGCCTATAACCTTGATGAACGACCATGGAAACTGACTCATCCTCTCTCACACCATGAAAATGCATTTCCCAGAGACATGGAGCCTACACTTCTATCATTTCCTCCTCGAGACCTACTTCAAACAGATCGCTGCCCAGAAAAACCATTGTTTCAATATTCCTCTAAAAGCCCACTTCTTTTACTCTTCGGAAACTTACGGTTTCTCATCTGTAGTTGGCCAAGTAACATCTTAATCCCTGGAGCCTTTGAATGCGCCGCCTTACATGGCCCAAGAGATTTTGCAGAGGTGCGTTAAGGACCCTGAAATAGGAAGATGACTCTGAATGATCTAGGTGGGTCTGATGCGATCACAAGGGTCCTTGTAAGTGAAACAGAGAGACGAGAAGTCAGAGCGAGAGCAGACGTGGCCACGGAAGCAGAGGCTGCCCATGAGGACGGAGGACGGGGCCGCAAACCAAGGAGTGCGGGCGGCCTCTAGCAACCAGAAAGGCCAAGGGAAGAGATTCTCCCCTATGGACTGCAGAAGAGGTGCAGGAGGGGTGCGGACCCCTTCATTTTAGCCCGAGGAAATCAATTTTGGACTTCCGACGTCCAGAACTGTAAGGCAATGATCCTGTGTTGTTTCAAGCCACTGAGTTTGTGTTCATTTGCTGCAGCAACCTCAGGAAACTCACACGCCATCTTCAGAATGCCAGCATTTCAGTCAATGGATACGTTCGCTCATTCACGGATTCACTCATTCGCTTATTCATCAGCGTTGACCGGCTGGTTGCCTGTAACGTGTCACCCCGGGGCCAGGTCCTGGGGAACATGGCCGCAGCCCTCACGTCAAGGAGCGTGACACATTCCTTCTCTCCTCTCTCGTTCATCAAATCACTTCTCTCGACTAGCGTGTTATAAGCCCTAGGCCTGACTTCCAGGCTCCCCGGCTGAGTGATCTTGAACAAAATACCTTAACCTTTCCATACTGTGTAGTAAAGTGGCCTTGCTGAGAGGCCTGGCCTTTGCCTTGGGTCCCGGGAGGTGACCTCTAAGTTCTGGAATGTTCCCCCTGATACGAGGGTCTTTGTTGACCTGGGGACATTGGGCCACATTACACAGCCCACGATAATGATGTGATTTACAGCAGGGGTCCTTTGGGCCACATGGTATCAGCTCAACCTCCAGAGGGGCTGGGGTTCAGGTCAGCCACGCTGGTGGCCAACCATGCCTGTGCCACTGTGTCCCAACAAAAACTGTGGACGCCGAGGCTCAAGCGAGCTTCCCTGGTTGGCGTACACGGTGTATGATGTCATGCGGCACCGCCATGAGGTGACGTCCCGTGGGACGGGACGCTGGAAACTTCACGTTGGGCACGCTACACTGCCCCACGTGCCCTGTGGCTGACTTTCATCTGTATCCTGCTGGGAAAAACCATAATCGTGAGTTACGGTGACAATGACTTTCCATGTGAGTTCGTCCAGAAATTTAAAGAGACTTAGGGGCATCTCGGGGAATCTCGAACCGGCAGTTGGCGTCAGACACGGCGGCTGTCTTCGAGACTGCTCTTGAATGCTTCATACGTGCCTACTGTCACGTCTCCCTTCTCCAAGGACGGGGTTTCATTTTCTCTCTTATTTCCCTCAGTCTGACTCCCCGTGAGCGCCCGGAACTGAGGAGCCTCAAAGCTGGCAGGGCTGTTATCTCACCAAACTCCCACGAGACCCTTCCAAGAGAAACAGCCCACACAGGAAGTCAGAGACGAAATCCCGGGAAACGAGCTGATCTACGCGACACCTGGGGTGGGACGATGGCGAACCCAGCTCTGTGCCCGTCACCGTCAGGATGACTCCGGGCTCGGTTCAGACATCTCCTAATGAGGTGCCACGATGTCTGATTTAGTGGCATTAGACAAACTTTACTGTTTGTCTAAAGGCCAAGAGACAGTGGGCTTTTAGAAAAATGCACTTTCCTCTGCAGCCCAAGATGCTTTAGGTGGTCATCGAATTTATCCCGCAGCCACCGTGCCCACAATATCGCGATGGGTGTCTCATCCAAAGAAGGCGCCTCTGTGTGACTAGGGTGTGGGAAGAGCCAGCGGGCGCAGGGCAGGTTGCTTCGTGAGTATGTCCTGTGCATGCACGCGCTCCTAGGCAGTGATGACAATAACGGTAATCGTAAGTTTTGCATGCTCCCTCTGTGCCTGACGCACTTACATGCTCTGCACGTGGGAGCTTATTTAAACCTCTGGTTAGTCCTATGCGGAAAGCTTATTATCCCTGTTTCACTGGAGGAGTCTGTTGACTGTCAAAACGGACCCTGATCCCAGCCTCCCTGCTGCCAGCTTGTCCCCTACGGCCCACTGCCCACAGAAACCAGAGGGATCTTTGGAAAGCATAAGGCAGGTCACGTCCCTACTCAAAACATGCCGGTGACTTCGGTCTCACTCAGAAGCCAACGCTAATGTCGTCGGAGGGACTGGAAGACCCTACGAGATGCCTGACCCCAGCCTGCCTGGCTCCTGGCGGCTGGCACACCAGCCTCCCCGCTGCTGCTAGGACATGGGGCGTCAAGAAAACAAGCACTTTGTTTGGTTGACAGCGGAGGCCCCAGTGCTGAGGCTGAGGGCTGCACAAAACAGTGCTCGATGGCATTCGATGAGTGACGGAATGAATGCACTAACTGCGCTGAGCAAACAGCTGGTCAGCGAGGAAGCAGGAGGCACGGCTGGGCCCCCAGGTCCGGAACCCGCGCGCCAGCCCTGGGCACCCCACGCTGCCTGTGGGGGGTGGGGCGGTGGGAGGTGTTTACGCCTCGTGGGTGATGGGCGCTTTCCTTCCTTCGCAGAGGAAGAAAGTGGGGTTTCGTCAGGCGAGATCTTAGATTCCCATCCCAGCTGAAGGGCCGGAGCGTCAGCCCGCCAGAAAGTGTCCCCAGCTGGCGGTGAGCTCAGGCGGGCCCAGGGGGCACGGGGCGGCGAAAGCATCTGCCCTGTCGCACTTAGTACATCGGACTCGCGCCCTCCCCGCTCCAAGACAGCGGCTCTCCAACTGCGCTGAGATCAGGACGGTGTGAAGACCGGGGAAACTGAGGCACAAGGCAGGTCGCCTGCTCCCAGTCACACGACTGGTGAGTGGCCTGGCTGGGACCGGGACGCTGGCCCGCACCGCATGGCATGGTTTGCGGGGACAACTCCGGCACTGAAGCTGGAAAGACGTGTTTGATCCCACCTCTACCGCCGCGGAGCTTGAGCAGGTGGCTGGACCCGCACGGAGAGGTTATGCCAGGAACCCCGGGTCACACAGCACGCCAGCCCCCAGGGAAGACTGGAACTCAGCCCCCTCGTTCCTGGCCGTGGATCTCAGTCCCAACTCCCCAGGGACAAGCTTGTTCATTTCCTGCCTGGGGACATAGGTGGGGTGTGGCTAGGGCTTAGACAAGATGAAGCCCACCCCTTCATTGCTCAGGAAAACCCCTCCGGGCTTGTCCTGGGGATGAAATGATCAACATCCGGAAGCACTTGGGACCGCGCGGGCCCTGAGCTAAGGCTGGCTCTGCGCGAGCTCCCTGTGGCTCCGAAACACAGCACCATGGACCTGCTAACGGCCCTAGGGGAGGGCCCTTCCTGCCTCCTCCGGCCTCCGGCTTCCGGTGGCTCCAGGTGTCCTTTGGTTTATGGCCTCAGCCTCTATAGTCACTTGGCCTCCTTCCCTGTGTCTCTGTGTCTTCATGTGGCCTTCACCAGTCATTCGATTCAGGGCCCACGCTGCTCCCCTGTGACCTCCCCTTAACTAATCGCATCTGCAAAGGCATGACTTCCAAACGAGGTCACGTGCTGAGGTTTCAGGAGGACATGAAATTTTGGGGGACACTTATGAACTAAATTGTGTCCCCCCCGAAATTCATATGTTGAAGCCCTAACCCCCAGGTTTTTTAAGGAGATAATTAAAGTTAAACGAGGTCATGGGGCGGGGCCCTAACCTGACAGGACCAGCGTCCTGATTAGCGTCCAGTGGAGAGAGGAGGCCGTGCCAAGACACAGTAGAAAGTGGCCGTCTGCAAGCCAGGACCAGAGCTCTCACCAGAACCCAAGCCTGACGACCTCGACCTTGGACTTCCAGCCTCCAGAACTGGGAGAAAACGAACGTCTGGCTACGTCGTCATGGCGGCCCGAGCTGCCACGTACAGACTCCGTCCACCCAGCACGGCTGCCACCGCGATGAGGACCTGCACTTCCTGCTCTGGCACGTGCGTCTCTCTGCCTCGGATGTGCCCTGACCCCTTGTCCACCTGGGGCCCATCTCCTCCTTCAGAGCTTGACAGCCGTCCTTGACCTCACCTTCACCCCTTGGGCACCCCTTGCCCCTCCTCTCTGTCCCCACAGGTAGAGATGTTATAATGGGAGCCGACGCCGCCGGGCCCGGCGCAGGGTCTCGCGTGCCTTTGGTGCTCACGCCAGCACCCTGAAGAAGGGCCATCACTGCTCCCATTTCACGGCTGGGGAAACTGAGAGCTGGAGAGGCCCCGGAATGTTCTGAAGGTCACACTGCAAGGAAGGGGAAGAGCCACAATACAGGCCCAGGCCCCGTTCACGGCACCGCGGTGGCTTTTGTTATGTTCCCCCTCATCAGACGTCCTTGTTTCTGCCTTTCCTACGGTGCTGGGTGCTGACTGAGGCCGGGGCTCTGTCTGCCTTGGCCATCGGCAAACCCTGGGGAGTCCCCGTCGCTGTGGAGGGCTCGGGTGCTCTCTCCCAAAGCCGGCCCTCGAGGCGAGCACGCAGGCTTCAGCACCCGCTCCCCACTCCCGAGCTGCAGGAGGCGGCCCGGGGTAGGGCGGGGAGGCCTCAAGCACAGACCTCCCTGTGTCAGGCCCAGCGCTTCCCCCGTCATTGCTCTGCCCGGCAGAACCACAAATGCCGGCCCACTTTTCACCCCGAGACATCTGGAGGCGAGTCCCGAGCATCCTGGAAGTGGAAGGTGCCTCGAATATGACCCTGGTGTCCGTCGTGCGTAGGCGGCCGTGGACGGCATGGGGCTTGCCCGGGTCGCCCGGCCACAGTGCCAGGGCTGGACCTGAGCCTGGGGCTTTGGACGGTGGCGGCCCAGGACGGTGTGGGGTTCTCACACGTGCTCAGATCCCGAGGGTCTGTCGGTCCCATCTCGAGGCCACGTACCTGGCACAGTGTGGCCACAGCCTTGGTGACTCTGACGTCCTCCTCCTCCTCCAAGTCACTCCGCGTCAACCTCTGCCTCTGCAGGACCTCGTGAAGAGCCTGTGAGTAAAACGGGGGCTGAATCTGGTAGAAACGTGTATTTTTTTCTTCAGAAAATGTCCCCCGCTAGGGGGATGCTTGCCCCTGATTGACACACAAGGAAAGTGGGGCGTGGGGGTCAGGTGGCTTCCGTGGCTTGCAAACCGAGGCCAAGACAATGTCCAGGAAAACCAGACTGTGCTTTTGTCCTGCCGAGTTTGGAGGTGTTACCAGGTCGCCGTCACTGCTCTCTCCTGGACACGAGCCGCCCGGACATCGTTCTCCAGCTTCGGCTGCCAGGGACCACCGCCCAGGCCCTGGGAGACCCACCCGGCAGAGCCCTTGTCACTGGCTCACAGACAAAGCAGCTGGGGACACAGGACTCAGGGCACTTGGCTAAGGTTACTAGGCTGACCCATGGCCAGCCAGGATTTCTCCTGTCTGCTGGACGCCAACGCCTCTAGCCTCCGGCGCGGCCGGCATGGCTGCTCCCGGCACGGACATGCCCACGGACGTGCAGGGCGGGCTCACCTGGAGGTGGCCCTTGGGGTCAGCGGCCAGCCGGGCCTCGGCCAGGAAGCTTCTCCGCTCCTCTTCCTGGGCCAGCACGAGCCCTGCCATCCCCTCTGCCTGGCGAGCCAGTGACGCCTTGACCAGATCTTTGCCTTGCTGGACAAACTCTGAAATTTAAATAAGCCACAGGACACAGCAGGTAACTCTCCTGCCAAAACTTTCATTGGTTCGTTTTCCCGGCATGAAGACAGGGAGGAGCTGGGGGACAATCCCGTTCTAGCTCCGTTCATCGTTCAGGCGCGTGTGCCTCCAAAAGGCAGTGTTAAGAGCCCGAAGTCTGTGAAGGCCAGGGCCCCATGGCTTGGGAGGGACCCACCCCACCCTTCTCCTCGGGCCCAGGGCTTAGGATGCAAGAGGCTTCACTCAGCTGTTATGCGGGCAACTGGCCGACCTGGGCAGGGATGAACGGGAGGCGTTTGCCTGGGGAAGAGTGTGAGGGAGGGGTAGGTGGCACAGGAAGGACAGGTGACGTGAAGGGACAGAGAGCCTGAGTCTGCAGGAAGACAGTGACGTTTCAGACTGGAGTTGACATTCAAAACCACGAGGATGAGCTGTCAGATCAGCAGCCCAGGAGAGGGGCAAAGCCAAGGGCGAGGATCCCCCTGGGCCTGGGGCAAGTGAACTGGGGGAGAGGGGACTGGGGATTCACGCGAGCCTTCGCCCACCCGGTCCCGCGGCCCCAGCAGCGTGCCAAGTGCAGCCAGCGAGCAGGACCCAGCCCTGCATTCGGCCTGCTTCCGGTCCAGAGCGGATGAGAAAAGCAGGAAGGGAAGGGGACAGCGT